GAAAAGTTACACACTCAACCCAAGACAATTTTTAGAGAAGGTCAAAAGATTGTTTATTAAAAAGACCTATTACATAGTTAGTGAATTTTAAACGATTTTGAAATGTAGCCCAATAAGATAGCTATGGATACATTCCATAACATTGGCTGAGCAAAGAATTATTGCTTGAAAACCCTGTTTTAAAACCTTGTCGATACTCAAATGTTCTATACTGTTGATTTTAATTAAGACCATGTTTAATAGTTGTAAGCTTATTTTTATCCTCTGGTTTATTTTACGGTTTAATTTTATTCACATAGCCTGTTTTTTTAAAGATTTTTTAATGTATTTTAACCTAGGAGGAAAGATACAACTTATTTAAGGACAATTATATTCATGACGAAGCACCTGTATATTTACATCCTGTTAAATATATACGTTATGTGCCAATAAATACCATTCATTCATAATAATGCAAGATGTTTAGTTCTAAACATATCCTTTATGGTAGAGTATTGTGTGCGCTTTATGAAAGAAAATCGTTCATTGTATTGTCAACTAGCAAAATTATAGTCTAAAACTTCTAAGCACATTAAGCACAAAATGTTTCTGCAAAATGTATAGAAAATTGACAAGAATGTTAATATACAAGAAGTTAATATAAAATAACAAATAACAAAATAATATTATACTACCATCAAAGATTTTGCTATCAATTGTTAAATGTACCAATAAACAAGTCATTATTATGAAATACAAATATAATGACGATAACTACTGTCCACTGACTTAATTTGTATGACATTCTTTCACAGGCTGTAAGTAGGGTGGGTGCACCAGTGAATGACCATTTCACATTAAAAACATCATATTACGCTTTCTGTGTCGCCAAGTTTATCACAAATGGACTTAAAAGTAACTTTGAAGGCCTGATTGGAATCTGCCCTGTCACTGGATCAAAAAGAAAGTGTCAATCATTCGTTTGTAAAATAAACAAATTAAGTGTTCCAACCCAACCAACTCATCTTAAAGCTTCCCACTATAGTGTCTAGTTCAAATATAGTTGGTTGTAATTTGTCATGGTTCTTTGATTATTGTTGGAAACTGCAACGTGTTTACTGTAAATTAGATATTATATTGTAATTCACAGTAAACATGTTAAGGTATGTTACTGTAAGGTAAGGTATGTTACTGTTCTCATTTTAAGATCAAAATCTTAACCAACAATTATTTAAAGAGTCGGACATTTACCAATGAATGGCTGTTATGGTTATTAACTAGATTTGGATACATTTTCTTTCATAGTATTGGAAATGGTGTTTTCTAATGGATTATTGGAAACACAAAACCTCATTAGAAATATTATTAATTAATTTAATTTATTTGAAAAACTACAAAATCTTACAACATTTTATAAACAAAGCTTGCTGCAAAAGCCAGGAAAATTTGGCTTGTCTGCAGCTCATAGAGATCATGTGAATACACTGAATAGTGAATACACTATAACCAAAATTTGACAGGGGTTAAGGGTTATGGTAATTTACTAGATGAAAAGAGGTCATTCACTTGAATCTAAATTTTACGATCCTGAAATGGTTATTTTTATAATATAAAGGGTGTCCAGCTTTGATGTGAGAATCTTGTACGGGTTATTTTGTAGAAAAGAAGGGGGATTGATACACTTTTAAAATATTATATATATATAATATGCAGTCATTCACTGGTGCAATGATTTATATGTGATAAGTTGCATCTTTCAACACTCTATTTGAACATAATACAAGTTGTATCATTAGAAAGTACAGAAGAATTTGGAAGAAAACTTATTCTACTATACTGCAGCTTAATAGCCAATTTTCCTGAGTCAAATACAAGTGGAAACTCAAGCTCAAACAGTCATCCAATTTCTACTCACCCTATTTGTGCATAATAAATTGCCTGCTTAATTAAAACATGTAAAACATTCAAATTCTATGACTCAAAATTTCAAATTGATGAAATAAATTACAATATTAACCATTTCTTTATTTATCTGATTGTTACCATACATTTTAGATGATACAGTAGAAACCTGGTTTACCGAAATAAAGGGGGGGGGGGGAGAGCCGTTTCAGATAACCAATTTTTCGGTTAACTGTTTTATTTCAGCTACAGAAATGTTACAATGGGTTAGAAAATCCCCTTTCTAGAGAGGGGCTTGGTACATCTCACTGTTTACATATTATATTGTACTTATATTTTAGCCTTGTATTAATTTATAGAACTGTTTCGGTTAATCTGGGTTGCAGTTAACCTGATTTCGGTTAATCGGGGTTCTACTGTAGTTGTATGTTTTCTCTGTAGTTTTAAGTTTAATCAATATAATCATTACAACCTTTTTTATTTAAAGTCATTTTGTCAACATAAACTTTTAAGACTTTAATTGTAATTCTGAATTGATCTAATTAATTCTGAGTTCATCTAATTTCTGAATTCATCTAATTCCAAACAGGTTTGATTATAGTTGAGTTTTTATACAACGTTTTAAGTTTTAAAACATATTTTTGTGACATAAGCTTGCAAAAAAATACAATAAGGTAAATTTCTCAAAATAAGCCATTGATTTCTTTATTTAAATATGTTTTGAACAAACTTGTTAGGCGGTATGCTCTAGTTTTATTTTTCAAATATTCTTGGCGACGTCTGCCTATTTCGATAACATGTTCTATACAAATTTGTGAAAATTAACTACTAAGATCTGTGCAAACAATATTTGTATCCTAATGTGTGAACGTAACTCTTGGGAGAATTTGTTACGAGGAGTTGAAGTATTGTGCAATTACCAAACCACTTGAAATAGTCTATCACTTGGCACTCCCTGAATGGTCGATTGGAATAAAAAGTGTCACCAAACTCAACAAGTCTTATCACAAGCTAAAGTAAACACTTAGCAGAAGATAAGACACCTGATCAGAAATGGGACACTCTTCTGTATCATTTACATTACATAACTTAACTTGTAATAAATGACTTTTGTACAATATAAGATTTCAAAATAAAAAAAGGTTGCTTGAGGAAATCAGAAAATTGGCATATATAATAAACATAAATAATAAATCTACCATTAAATTTTAGTATTAGTTATCTGGTAAGTTGTAAGCGGTTTAAAAAAAATTGCTGGAGACAGATGAAAAGTTAAGTTTTTATAGCTGCAAGTCAATATTTCACGAGCAGTTTGCTGAGCACTCCTAATATCAGATTTCAAGAACACATAAATTACGATCATGTTTAAATTTTTGAAAAAGTTTCAGTTTGATTAAAAGTTAAATGTTTATTATGTTGCGTGGTTATGATTATATATGTTTTTTAAAGAATACTGACTTTAAATTGCTACGTTCTTGTCATGTAAATGTTTAATATTTTTAAATGATATGTTTTAAGAATTTTTCAAGCCACCCAACTTATCCTTGGAAAACTTTTCATTTGTCAAGAATTAAAAATATGACTTTTTATTGCAGTTTAATAATGGATTTATGACTTTGGTATAATTGGAGTACCAAAGTTTGGTACTCCAATTAATTAATACTAGGTGTACAATGCAGTTGTCTGCTACTGCGGTGTCGGGTTACTAAACATGTTGGACTATTAAGAGTCTAATCTTCATAGACAAACTTCCACAATCACATACTGTAAAGTCATAGTATTCTGGTCATCCTGAAGATGGCACTTTGAAAATTGGAGTTAAGCGTTGATTGAATGTCACTTGAAGACCTCGATTCCACTAATTAAGACTACAGCCACACTTAGGGACTAGGTCGTCACGTCTGTTTTTATTCGGGACCTGGTTGCAGGTTGCAGGACACTTCAGTAAAGCAGATTTGGAGAGCATCTCATGAATGCATTTTGTTTTAACATGGACAATTTCAATTTGTAACAACGCTTAGGAAGATTAAAGCAAATGTTTTTAGTGAATTTCTCATAAATGGAATACAATATTACTGTAGGTCTCATGGTAAGACCTGGGAGTGATTTTCTTTTTCAATTTGAGGACTCCAGGGGCAAAAAAAAACACCATCTCTTCAAATTCATATACAGGGTGTTTGTGAACTCTCTCGAAAAAATTTACAGGATTATTCCTTGGGTTAATACATGAATATTTTACATTATAAACATGGGTCGCCGGAGCCTCGTTTTCCGTCTGTCTGTCTGTATGTGTTTTTTATAAATAACCTTATAACTCGAGTTTTAATCAAGGTACAAACTTTAAATTTGACACACTTGTGTATTTTAACATGGTACACAAACAAGCAAAATTTCATTTCGTTGACTATAGCCGTTTCAAAATGGCGGCCATCTAAAATCTTTGACCTCAAATTACATGAAAACCACTAGAGTTACAAAAAAAAAAAACACAAGAATAACAAAATGTGGGAAATTTTATTCCAAATCAAATGACATATAGATCTTAAAGATCGGACAACAAACAGCTGAGTTATTAATTTTTTAAATAATTAATAATTTCTTTGCTGGCTTTTAATTGTTATTGTTTATTCTTTAAAATCATCGGGGTACAGCTAGTATATATATAATTTCTATATGTGTGTGTGTCGGATGGTACGTTAACTCGAGTAAAAAACTATCTGATTTTAATGAAATTTTTTTAGAATTACATTCCATAGAGGAGGATACACGCTTATTTCTTTGATGAATTGATCTATGTTCAACAGCATATTTTATTTTCCAACTGCAAAGTACCACTGTTCAACCCAAAATGAACAAGATAAACAGTGTGAAAACTGGGTGAGTAAGTGAACGACTTTTCACTGAGTATGGCCGATTCCGTATGATGAAATGGGGATTGTATGATTTGCTGCTGCTCAGTGACATGATCGTTGCTGCCGCAGATGGTCGCAGGTTGCTTATTGTGGCTGTCTTCATTTAATTGAATTTTACCCATTTATTTCATTTGCCGCGGCAACTAGATTCAAGTGTGACAGTAGCTGAAGTCTCTACTCTAGAATGGTAAATAAATACTGACTTACCACATCAGCCAGTTGATGGTAAGGCAGGTTTTCCATGTAGGACCGTCTAGCAGAGCCCCGAGCTACGAGGCCATGCTGAGGTTCTATCCAACACTCGGCTATCAGCTCCAGACTGTTCTCAGACTCTGAAACCTCTGTGTCCTCCTCTTCTGATGTGCTGGACAGTTAAAAATTCAAAATGATTACAGTATTGATTATCCAAATCTACTCTCATAAAAAATAGCTTCCACCTTGATCATAAAAGAAGGCGAAAAAAGAGGCAGAGAAGTTGTTTTAACCTTTTTTACAGTTAACGTTAAAATAATTTATGGACTCCAACACCAACCACGTAAGTCTGCATATGAAGTAGTGATGGTGAAATTTAAGAACTTAAAATCTCAAATCCTTTTTCAAGTCTTAGTAAAATGGCAAATCTAAGCAGAATTACTACAAAATCTAGCATAGAAACTAGTAGGAATGTAAAGAGATTCCCTCGATTCATTCAGTTTATTTTGAACTAATTCTGAGGTATATGGTAACGCCAGAATTGTAGTGATGGTAGTCTCCCCCAATGGTGACATCGCAAATAAGTATTTCTATTGGAAAAACTAATAGAAATACTTATTTACGATCAAATCTGAAATGATTTTGAAATAAACAACATCTTGAACAACAATCAATACGGTTTTAGAAAGGGAAAATCCACTCTCGATGCATTGGACGATCTAGTCAGGCAAGTTCACCTCTCTTTTGTAAATAAAACTTATGCTTAGGCCACCTTCTGTGACCTCAGTAAAGCATTTGACTCTGTTGACAGCTATATTCTCATCTCTAAATTACAGTACTATGGATTTGATGGCCCTCCATTATCTTTTTTAAGAAGCTAGGTACTTCCAAAATCGGAAACAAGCAGTTTGTATTAATGGAAGATGGTCAGATGAAGTGTCAGTCGAGTGGGGAGTGCCACAGGGTTCAGTCCTTGGTCCCCTTCTTTTCTTAATCTATATAAATGATCTACCCTCTTCTTTTGATTGTAAAACCATTCTGTACGCAGACGAATCTACCGTTTTATCTAAAGGAAAAAAACTGTAAAGAACTTGAAAATTGGCTGATAAAACATTAAATAATGCACAAAATTGGTTTCATAGTAATGGACTTTTGCTTGACAAAGAAAAATCACAAAAATTAATATTTTCCTTGAATTATAGTTCAAGAGAGTTGTTTGAGAACAGTGATAAGGGTAGTACAGTTTTCTCAGCAAAGTTTTTGGAAATATGTAAATAGTCAGCTAACATGGGATTCACATATAGAATATTTAAATACCAGACTTTCTCTCGTAATATTTTTACTAGGCCGTCTGATAAAATGCATTCCACTAAATTATGTCCGAACAGCATACTTTTCATATTTTCAATCCATTTTCAGGTATGGGCTGATTTTTTGGGAAAATTGTGCTAGGGTAGGGGAAATTCTTGTTTGGCCAAAGAAAGCGGTTAGAGTTATCTCTAATAAAGGCTCGAGAGACCACAGCAAACCACTTTGTCAAAATCTTCAAATTCCTACTATATTTATTTAACGTTTATATTTATGACTTAGTAGTTTATATCTTGGAAAATCAACATCTTTTAAAATGTAGAAACAATGCTCATAATCATAATACCAGAAATAAGAACCATACTTCAATAGAATTCCATCGTTTAGTTACATAATTCTATAGTTTTGTGACTTAAAGTGTATAGCTTTCTTAAATCCATAATTAAATTACACACTATAAAAGATTTCAAGAATAAATGTTATTGTTGGCAATAGCCCTTTTTATAGTTTGGAAGATTTTTTTAACAATAAGATTAGGCCTATTCAGTTGTATTTTTTAAATAAGTATTGTAATACCTTTTGTAACTGACTATGCTATAATTTTAGCTGTATCATGACATTGTCGATAATTTGTTAAAATTTAAAAGACAATAAAGAATATTTCATTTCATTTCATTTCATTTATTCCTGACCCATTTGCCATTCGGCTATTAATTAAAGGTACTTACAAGTAAAAGGTGACTTTATAGTAACAAGAGCCGGGTTTGGACCGTTACCTTACTAAAAACGTAAAAAATTTAAGGGTTGAAACACACAAAATGAATAAAAAGTGAATTGAACTCACCTTCCCTTGCCCACATTGCTAGTTGTGTGAAGCGGAAACAACACATACTGTATGATACAAGGTTGATAGTTGTCACACATGTGATCTGCCTCTTGATCACAACACTGCGAACCAACATACAAGTCAATCAAATATGTGACAAAATCATGCATTTAGTAGGAACTCGGTTAAAAGTTACGTCTGGAGCAACTTAACACATTCGCTACAGCAATAGTACAAAATTTTTCATTCATATGGACCAGCGACGCACATATGCGATGACTGGTTTCCACCTATAGACTGCCGCCCCATATATGCGACGGCTTGTCACATTAAAATAGACTGACGTCGCATATTTGCGTCGGTGTTCCAATGTTATCAAAAACATTATATCTTTGAAACGGTCTATTTGAAGGCCCTGAATTCTCTGCAGTGGTCTACAGGGATGTCTGTCGCACATCTGCGTCGCTTGGTTTGTGGATATGATGATTGGTGACGTTATATGATGCAATAGTTAAGACAATTTACTATTGTAACAAAACCTACGTAGATTTTTGATTTGTTTTGAGCCGTGACTACTTTCCAATGACGAATGTCACGACTCATTTTCTGATTCTATGTTCAAGTTTTTGTATAGTATGTGTTTTGCCATGTTACTGTTTTCACGTCCCCAGTGAAACTGTTTGTCACGCACTTCTTCTTACTCCTGCCGTGCAGATGACATAGGCTCCGCGACGTCGAGTTTACAAACATCATAGAAATTTCTACTATCCGATTGCATCTACATTTTTGTAATTTAAAATGCAAAGTTGGTTGATTATTTTAGTTTTTTGGTTGTCCGTTTGTTTTGAAGTTTACAGCATTGTATTCTACTAGGAAGGACATTTAATTTGATGTGCATATCAACCTATGCTTACATTAAAAATTTTCTTCTGACTCCTAGTGGGCCGTCCCCCTGAAGATGTAGTGTATCACTGAATCATGTGTTAAAATGATGTTAATGCCCAATGTATACCAAGATTTAAAGCTCTATATTTATTACTCTCTGAAATATTTAACCGTCCCGGGACTTTTATTCCACCCTGTATATGGTAGAGTAGAACATTAAATTGAAATTGAGTAGCATATTTAATAACTCTTTAGACTTGCCCAAATATCCTTTAAGTAAATACCAGTGGCAAGCTTCATCTGTAATGTTATTTTTGTATATTCTTTACAACATGTTTAGATACAAAGGGTAGTTCATTTTACAATCTTCGTCAAATATATTGTGGGCTGTTGTTAAATATTTTGAACTTGTAATGTGGCGATCTGAAATAATTTTCTTTCCTTGAATTGTACAATTTTGACTTTTTCTGAACATTTTTTTCAAAGAAATCCAAGTCATCATTGAGTATAGTGTTAATAATATTAGGTGTGGTTCAATGATAATATTTCTTTTATTGTCGATTTTTAAAATCAAAATTTAAAAAAGGAACAGGAAATTTGGTTGGAATACACTGTGATGTTGTAATTTTTTCTTCCAAATTATAGGACAGAGACTGAATCTATAAGTAACATACCAAATCTTTTGATAGCCCTTAATAATGGCTTAAGGGCAGTCATAAAGTTAAACACAAAGCTAACAAATGATCTCCGATCTGAGCAAGATAACATTTTTATTGCTTCCTTGATAAATAAATCTAAACTACTTTAAATCTGAAACTACCTTCATTTGTATCTCCAAAACCATGTTAATTATGCCCGCTGTTGAATGGGCAAAGCGGAAACCTTCTTGCAGACGCATTCTGAAAAAAAAGAATATGCTCTGATTCAAACAAAGTCTTAGCAATAATGCAAACAAATTAATTAACTCCAAAAATATTTTTGTCAGTGATTTTGTATGTCATCACTTTCTATATTTTAATAAACATTAGACTTGTCAGTAAAGGGACAAAACAAATACAGATAACTAAACTAAATATCTTAATGAAGGTAACTCAATTTTTGTATTAATTTTAATCATGACAATAATGTAATTTGTAGACTTCCCCATTTTGGGTATTATACAGTACTTTTAATTCAATTTGGCAAGTGCTGTTGTCTAAAAATTACCGGTATTAATTTAAGACTTTGGACTAGTGACTTTGGAGTGTACTTCTAGTTTGTAGAGTACAAATACATTTTTTACTAAGCATCCATTACATATTATAACAGTTTTAGATACTTTAATAAATGTTAATATACAGAAAGCTGCAGGGAAGCTTATAAATCACTAAAAATTAGGGATGGGTCGATTCCTCTTTTTTCGATTCCGATTCTTACAAACCGATTCCCGATTCTTGATTCCGATTCCATCGATTCCTAATAAGTTAAAAAGTCCTAATGAGTAAAATACCATAGAAGTAGCCTAATTGAATAACACAATTTTTTTCAGATTTTCCCAACTCGCCATTTAAAAAGTATATTATTTATTAATGACTTTTTAAAACTCTATAATTTAATTCTGATAACTGAGATTTTTCATTTTGTTATTAACAAAATATACAAGCAACAATTCAACAGTCCAATCAAGCCTACAAAAACTAATTTATGTAATCAATAATAAAAAGCTATATGATTGTGTTTACTTATTTATATCACCGTTTCCTTTTTCCCCTACCATTAATAATGTATCATTCATGACCCAGGCCTTGGTATACCAAGATTTTTTTGTTGGTGGGTTTTAAATTTTCTGTTAAAATTCTGTATTCTGAAAAACTAAATAATTAAATTAAATAATGATATGTCATTTACTGTAGAACAGATTTCCCTGCCGTAAATCAAGAAATAAATCCCAACCTCCATAGCCTAAAATGAAAATAATTTTTTTGTCTATTTAAACCAATTTAACTTCCTCAACCATAACATCATTTTATATTAGGTAATAGGCACCTACTTAATTGCGCCATACCAACACCAAAACCAAGTCGTCCAAGACCAAAATTGTGCGTTAAGAAATGGTATGTTATTTTAGACGAGTGATTAAAAAAGAAAAAATATCACAGATGTTGAAATATAGCTAAGTTTGGAGTAAGCTCAAGACGAAAGTACCGATGGAGTGACAAAAAAATTGTGTCGGTAGGCCTACTTTTTACCACGACAAGAATATATGCTTCACCTTTTTTTAAAGTAAAATTTTATTGAAAGCAAACGAAACAGGGTTTTACACGGTTGTTTTATTTTCCAAGTAAGCTGGTTGAATCATAGACTAAACAACACAAATAGCCTTCTCATCCCATTGAAAATTATGAAGCTCGTTTTTCGTGTCTAGTTCATGGTTGTAGGTACACTTGTTAATTTTAAATTCGTTGATCTATACAGTAGTATACTCTGTTAATAAAATTTTAAATAACATATTAAATACCGTACTAAACATCAATTCGATCCACAGTCGTGCGTCGATTGGGAATCGTACTTTCTAAATCGTGGTGCCGCCTGCGTCTGCCTAGTTTGAGTTTCAGTTTCACTGTCACAGTGTCAGTGTCTGTCTACACACACACACACACACACACACACACACATAGACGGACACAGACAATTACTTATAGCGATCAAGGTTAAGTCGATACCGGCAATGGCGGCAATAGTTGCTCGCACTGAACTAGAGCTACAACCGAAGGTAGCACTGAATGCGAGAATTGAGAGACGTTGGCCGCCATATTTACAAGGGGAATAGTACTTCGGAACTAGGGCATTGCAATTGCCAACAGCCAATGAGCTGATTGATTCTTCTAGTGGTACCAACATAACAATGTTTTACAGCACCTCGATTTTCTAGCAGAGTTGCCGTGCAAGTGATACCTCCATTTGGATGTTTTCAGTCTAGGATTATTTCGTTTCGTAAAAAGCAAGAGCGGTTCCCTGATTCCGTTTACTTATCACACTTACATATGGTAAATAACTGAGAGCGCACGATAATTTTGGGTTGGCATGAACTACGCCGGTTGTCTGATTCAGAATTTAAACGAACAACAAAACATTGACCATGGCAACTTCCTTAAAAATATGAGTTTTTAAATCCATGTGTGTAGCCCCTGAGCTGTTGGACATAATGTAAGACTAAATTACTTATGTAATTCCTGTCACAGCTCAATAAAAGCTTTTTATTGAGCTGTGACAGGAATTACGCAAGTAATTTAGTCTTACATTATGAGTTTTTATATGGAATCGGTATCGAGAATTGTGACTAATATTTCAGAACTGGTATGGAATCGAGTAGGGGTTTGCGAAGCAGCAAAAAATTTTATTCGAAGCAACGATTTGATTAAAAATATTTTCAATTTGAATAGATGAAACTCGATTCGAAGCAATACGGCATTTTTCTACTTGTCAATGGAGTGAAATAACAATAGGCTAATTAAAATTTACCACATATTTGTGTAATGCAAATTTTTGTATTCAAGCACCTTCAATACAAGAGACACACTTATTCCTACTTTTGGACCTTCTGCACAATTTATTTTTGAACTTTGTGTACTGAAATATAATCTTTGAACCTTCTGAAATTGGACCTTGAGATATAAGCGTTTGACCTTGTGAAATGCCAAATGTGCTAAACACTTTAAACGCACTTTAAAGACAATTAAAAAAAATTTGTTTGGACCTTTACTTAAGGATTACTGAAAGTGCCATAATATTGGATGCCAAATTACAGGGTTTTACTTTACTTCCATCTGAAGAATCCTTATGTCAATAAAGAATAAGGGGAAAATATCCAATTGTGAATATCACATTGTGTGAACGAACTTATTGTGAGCTTTCAACTGCCTTGGACTCTTTACATAAGTAATGTGTATCGATTCCTTCTTACACAGAATTACTAAGTATATTGTGATTATATCTTACTCAGTCAGCAGAGAGAGTATGTTAGACACATGAAGGATGTGACGAGAGGAAGGTGACACAGTCCACACCCATCGGCGATGGTGGAGGTAGCGGGAGAGAGTGGTGACTAGAGTGCTGGTTGGTCGAGGAGGTTTGACTGCAGTCTGAGGCTGCGTGCCGTCAGGAAACACCACTGTGCCAAACTCTGAAGGCATCCTCTCGTACCTGCCAAATATAAATTATCATGGAGTGTAAAGCCTTGTGAATCTTAGAAAACTGAAAATAGCTTCCAACATATTCAGAGTTTAAGATGTAATTTAATTTACACGTTTACCAAATCCAAGAAAAGTGATACAATCCTACACCTTTTTATAAATTTGCCAGATAAACTTTAAAAATTAAAAGTTATTTCTTATTCGTACTGTTTTACGATTTCATATGTTCATTACCTGTTCTATTACTATAACAATATTGTTAGTAGGTTTATACTTTTTAATCATGTTTGAATTGATACATAACCATGAAACTTAAAATACACAAAGTACAGAATACACATGAAAAAAATTTAAATTAAATTTGGTATTGATATATGTTTTTATTTTACATGAAACCTACCGGATCAAAATCTTTTCCAGTGGTTTGTTCAACAGAACGGAGCAAGGAACGTTGGAGCGGCTCTGGTTTTCCACAAATCCTTCACCCTGATTCCTGGTATTGTTCTCTTGGTGTTTTGTGGTTAGTCTTTGAGGTACTGTCAGTGCAGATATTTTGGCTTTCAGCTGTTCAATGATCTGAGAAATAGTCAACATTAACTGTGAATTAAAATTGTAATTTAGTTTTAACATTGAGCTTAAGTTAACTAAAAATGTCCATGGATGCATATTATACATATTATGTTTATTAAGTTGATAATTAAAATTTAAACTCAAATATTCAATTATGCTATCATAAATAGTAATATTTGCTAACTAATTTTTCTTATAGGCTACATAAACTATCTGCATATGCACAAACCATATTTTTCATTACACAACCAGTTTAATAAAAGAGTATAGAGACAATAAATAGATTTGAATATCTTGGATATCAAACCACCCTTATGAACTGGAACCCAAAACACTAACCACTAGATGAGTGAGCTAATCAAACCCAAAACAAGAGACTAAAAATCATAAAGTTATTTTTGCTATTGTGCTGGAAAGAAGCAATGATCGAGTTTCAAGACATGAGTGAGTTTACAGCTGAAATGGGAAAACAGAGGTTTACACTGCCACTAAACCAATTGATGAAATGTTGGACCAAGTTGATGAATGATGAAATGATTAGTTGGATATAAGAAGGATGAGGGGGCTCTAAGCAAATTTTAATAATCGACAATTTAATATACCCGTGATAAATACCTGGTGTCTCAGTTTGCCAGGGGTTCCTCCCAGAAATGCAATGTGAATCACAGCACAAGGAGGTTTCTGCTGGACCCTCAGTACATAGAACCAGCTGGGGGTTTTATCTGTCTCACTGAAACCCACCAGAAAACACGATTAAATATACAATCAAGTGATTACCTATGGTTCAATCATCTTTTTTTCCAATAAAAAAAAATACTCCCGCCACACCAAACCTGCTGACTAAGCGAATTTCTATTTACCTGGCTGGAATTCCACTAAATTATTCCATTAAAATTGTCAGATTATATTATATTTAAATAAATATCATTTAATTTTAGTGAGTACTTAGGTTTGATGCTACAGGAAAGATAATAAGGTACGGTTTTTACTAAAGAATAATAGCTTAGTATGGCGCAAAAAAAATTTCCAAATTTCATTAAAATATGTACATAGAGAAAAAAGGAAATTTACACTTTTTTGGAATCTTTCCTGTAACTGTTAGGCATACAAAAAAATATTATTTGTTTTTTTGGAAAGAAATTACAAAATGTTATGTTTCAGGGTAAGAAATGAGAAAACCCATTTAAAAAAAAAAAAAAAAACCTATAGTCCGATCATGCTGGTTCGTGAACCTGTTCAAACAAATGTAGGTTTACACGTTTATACTAAATTTAATCAAAATTGGATCATTTTTGCTCAAGTTATCATGCTAACGGACATATATGTATATAATTATACGAAAAATAGAATAAATGGGCTACTGTATATGAAGAAAATTTAACATTGATAAGCTGAGTACCCAAGTAAAAATTATTTCTTAAGATATTTACTGACTAGTTTCAGTTCTAAAGACTTTGGAAATGACCTTAGAGATGAAACTAGTCAGTAAATATCTTAATATGGCTTTTTAATGGATGGTTTTTAAGGCCTCTGGGGACCTCTTAACGGAAAAGTAAATCGGTACCGGCTTCAGGTTTTACCACGAGACCTACGGTAATAGCTTATTCCCTATATGGGAAATTTGCTAATATTTCCTATATGAGAAATTAGCTATAAGAAGACCAGTCCAGATATTTTTCTTCTACTGAAACATCATTCTAAATCTCTTTTTATTAAACCAACTCTTACAGTTTTGGTTTATGATATTTTTTTTAATAAATTTTTTTAACAAACTATCAGAGTTAGTACAAGGAAACACTGTACCCAAGAGTAGCTCTTAAATACCACCATGGTGCAGGGTGACAAGTTACAACTCGAAACCTAGCTGCAACTGAGATTACATGGCCGCTAGAGATGATCAGAATTGTACTGTGATCACGGAAGAAGATGATTTTGATTCCATGACCCTAGAAGACAATGATAATGATGTCTTCGCGGTCTCAGTATACAATCAGAATTTTAAAACGATAGCGAAATACGATAACAATATCTACATTACAGTGGAAGATGTTCATGATTTCGCCACAATCTGGGAAGATGTTGATGACAATGTTTCCGTTACCGCAGGAGATATTGAGGAGGACTTTTCTGTGACCACAGGAGATGATAATGATGTCAACACGATTGCAGGAGGCGATAAAAATGTCTAATGGCCATGGGAGATGATCTTAATCTAGCCGTGATCGCAGAAGACGATAATAATGTCCACATGACCACTGGAGATGTTTAATATTTCACCTAGATCGCAGAAGACGATGTTAATGTTTCCATGACCTCGGAATACGACGGTGATGTCCACACCGCCGCGGATAATGATCAGAATTTTGCCGCGATCGCCATAAATTAGTCTTCATATTTGGCGTGTTCAAGGAGGTTTATTAAGAAGACCCATTGATACAATTTTCAAACCTGCATAGGAGCAAACTATCACTTTTAATGTTTGTAAAATTCTTCAGGTCAGTTAGCTGTATAAATGTCTGTCCTCACCCCTTAATGTGTTTTAAAGCCAAAAGCTTCATTAAATAAACTATTTTCTATGTCAACAATAATAAATTTGAAACTATGATAGTAAAACAATGGAAAATCTTACCCAGAGGACAGAAATTTGAGGTAGGAGTGGTTTTCAATCAATACAAAGCTAGTCCAATCTTTGAGAAAGTTGTAGAGTGTGGCAGCGGCATGGCGACACTGAAGTCCTTGGAAACGTCCATTGGGGGAAGCGACGTGAAGGAACCTGTGATTGGTAAAAGTACATGTTCAATGGCATGTAAGACATTGACAACTAAAATAAAATATTTTTTAAGCAGGGCAGATTCTAGAAAGCCTACAGTTTTAAAATTACCAATCTAAATTATATAACAGTTTATTTGGGTAGTGAAACTTATGAATTAATTAATGTGGAATTTGTGACGTACTTTTCCACACCGTAACATAAAACACCAGTTTATATGCCAGGTTCAAGTACCATGTGCTCATGTGCTACAAAGAGCACTTAGTTTCCGTATAGGCCTCAGTTCAGAGATTTGGGTTGGCCTTCCAGGGTTCGCAAATATATTTTCGATTCACACTCAACCGTGCCGTCGCCTTGGCTGAGGTTTACCGTGTCGGCGATCTAAAGCATCTGGTTTATCACGCAGATGTCGCAGTAGTTCGAACCAATCCCCACAGTCCTGTCACTGAGGCTCTTTCCGCCCCCCCCCCCCCCACTCATCGTAGTAGGCTGGGGCTCATACGGCCTCACCTGGCCGTTGTTGCAGGATAGGCCGTATGAGCCACGGACGGTTAATCCACCATGACATAAACAGTTATTCCCAACTCATAAACAACGCCTAATACTAACTGTATAAATGAACTTTGATGTGACAATTTACATATTACATCATAAAAATACAATTAGTAGGCTATTGTGCAATCATGAGTAGGCTGGGGCTCATACGGCCTATCCTGCAACAACGGCCAGGTGAGGCCGTATGAGCCCCAGCCTACTCATGATTGCACAATAGCCTACTAATTGTATCTTTATGATGTAATATGTAAATGTCACATTAAAGTCCATTTATACAGTTAGTATTAGGCGTTGTTTATGAGTTGGGAATAACTGTTTTATGTCATGGTGGATTAACCCTAGTTATCAGTTATCCTTGTTCAAAATAAAGTTTTACTAGGTTTTTATGTCAATAAACACGATCCTCTGATAATCCGACTTTTTGCTGTCCGATCATGCTCCCGGTCCCGTAGGTGACGTATTAGCGAGGTTCTACTGTAAACACAAATCATGGTGAGAACAATTACTAACATCCACAACCACACCAATAAACTATTGCATTAGTTTGCCTGTGTTAGAGCACAGTGAAGCATTAGCCTTAGTGTGAGATACTCACTTGGGCAATGGAAGGTCATGTTGCAGAATTAGACTGAGTGTCTGAGAATGCATCCACTTGTGCCAGACTGAGGGGTCCAATAGACACACGGGCCGCCAGTAATGAGCAAACAGGGGACAGCTTGGATCACTGCAATTGTACAAGGCTTATCAATAACAAACATCTATACAAAAACAAACAAAGAGAAGTCATAAAAGTCAGAGAAGTGAAAACTATTTGAGAGCGTAACTGTACTTATACATTGAACTTGGGTGTTTATTACATTGATAAATAATGTGTGGCATGCAAGACTATACACTTTAAACTTTTTGAAACCTAATCACACACACTACTATTGTCTCAAACACAATTATTGTGCAGAAGTCAAGTCACCCTGAAGAAGGCACTCTACATTGAATTCGGACATAGGTGGAAAGAAGTGATTCATTGATTTTGACTCAGTTGTCACCAGAAGACCACGAGTCTACAGCATGTGACTGTAGAAGTATATTCATGAAGATAAGCTTAAACAGAAGTTTTAAAATCTGCAAAAATTTACAGGTGACAAAAGATACACATTTTTCAGAAATTGTAGAAAAATATATAGAATTGAACCTCAGATTACTTATTTTGTAGATCAGTATTATGACTGAAACTAACACAGTCAGCGAATAATACTTGAAAAGTTCAGGGACAATTAATCATAAGTAAACCATTCAAACCAACAACTGTAGTAACACATTTAAAAGTCTGGAAAGCTCTCAAACAGTCTACACTTGACTGCCAAGTAACCCTTTGATGAACCAATAAACATGTGTTAGCTAGGTGAACAACCAACGCAAACACGTGATAAGCAACCCCGTAGCAGATCACTGCAAGCACCATAGATAATGTTGCAATGCTCACCATTGCATGCAATCTGCATCCATCGAGGACGATCGATACCTGTTATAACGTCACAGACATTAATTTCTAATAACTGGGTGCTAACTGCAATCTAGAAGTACATTTTGTGAAGCAAAATCATTCAATTTTACAAAGATCTCAGATTGAAATTCTTTAGGTAAAAACTAAAAACCACTAAGACATATGTTGCAAATTAAATTCTACCTCGTCTTTTAAAAACTATCTGTCAATTGACTGCCGTTTTAATCAAAACATGTGTTGTAGGATTATACATCTTATGAACTTGTTCAGGAGTCATTCATGAGCTAAAGCCAAGATTTGCATAACAAAACTTGAGCATTTCTGGAACAAAGTTTTTGTAATGATTTTGACAAGTCTGTGGTTTGCCCTGCTTTGACCATTGCTCACCGGCACACAGCGCTCAACCTCTGCCATATTCATTAACTGCAGGATTAAAATTCTGCCTTCCCAATAACATCATTAGTGCAAAAACACATGGTTCAAACACACCTAAATTCATTTTGTTAAGATCATTTTTCATAGTCATGATTGATTTATATAAATTTCACTAACCTAGAAGAAAGTGTTTGTGGACCACTGTTGGACGGAAGGTAGAAAAGAGGCATTCCGCTGCGAATTGTCTCTGGAAGAGCAAAGGAGAGGGGAGTGGAGGAGAATGAGTCTAGATGTGCCAGCAAAAGGTCTGACTGTGCCAGAGTCTTGATGGTGGTCCAAAACCTAGTCACAACTGCCTGACGATAGGGCGACTGAAACTGCTTCTTGATCAGGCACGTGATGTCATGAAGAAATTCATATGGAGCTGTCAGGAAAATAAATAGCATCAACATAACATTTTAGAATTTTAAGATTACAAGGAATACCCTAATGGTAACTCACTAGTGAAATGCTGCAGAAAATTGTGACCCAAGCAAGTTTATAATTTATACTCTTGCTCCCAACGGAATAAACGCTTTTCTCATCAATCACTCATTTTCACTCCATAATCACATTCATTATTTCATCCCACAGAAAAATAAATTCAAACTCTTCATCAGAAACCATCCCACCATTGTTTATAACTAATTCAATCAATAAGCAAAGGTAAAATAAAAATGTTGGCAGCCTAGCAACACACAGACAGAGTTTTGACAAAGTCTGCTTATTCTAAATTAAAATGTAAAATAGCTGGAAAATGTAGTAACAGGGTGGGACAGAAGATCTTGCTTATTTATGTTGTTAATCCTAAAGCAACAGCTGCTGTTACAAAGATGGTGTTAAAGTCATTTGATAGGGTGAGATTTAAAGTTTATATCCTACTCGGTTCAGTTGCCATCATGGGGTAGATAAAGATTCAATAGACATTAGCAAATGGTCGTCATGGCTTTCTTGACTGATGAGGCTACTTTCCATCTTTCGGGATGAGTTAATAAGATTAAAAGTCTACAAAACCAAGGACAACTTCTTGGTTTGGGACAAGTGTGGTTCCAGCAGCATGGTATAGCGGCACACACCGCACAAGCGCCAATGATTTTTTTTTCAGCAACACTTTCTATGGTGGATCATCATGTGAGGCGATCTGCATTATTGGCGCAAGTCATTGGTCAACAAAGATTGTCCAATGACCCCTCATGATGTGAAGAACAACATTTGTCTCGCTGTTGCTGACTAATATGTGGATATGCTGCAAAAAGCTAGCAAAATTTTAAAAAAACCCAATGAGTAAGTGCATCCAAAATAATGGTCGCTATTTGCCCGACATGATTTTTAAAACTGAGTAGGTAAATATAATTTTTAATTTTAGTCTTTGTGTTTTAAAAGAAAAACAATTTGAATTTGTAAATTTTTTCTATTGAGTATCCAAATAAGCATGTTTTTCTAAACCACCCTGCATTATTTCTGATGAGATGTTTAATTTTTTCTTCGATGGCTCCCAAAATTTCGGGAAATTTTCGGGAAAAAAATATTTCTGATTTTTGGGACGGTATTAATTTGGGAATTTTTAGGGACGGGATTAGATTCGATCGTTGGTGATTTTGCCTCTCCGGGAGTGACGATTACGCCGCTATCGCAAGAGATGTTCATCACAGTTCCACAAAAGCAGGAGGCGAAGTCAATTCAACAATCACGCTGTGACCGCGAAGTGATACCGACGATCAAGCCGTGACCTCGGAGTCATTTCGACGATCTCGCCATGACCGTGAGTCATACTGACAATCACGACGTGACCATGGAGTCATTTCGACGATCGCGCCATGACCGTGAGTCATACTGACAATCACGACGTGACCATGGAGTCATTTCGACGATCACGCCATGACCGTGAGTCATACTGACAATCACGACGTGACCATGGAGTCATTTCGACGATCGCGCCATGACCGTGAGTCATTTCGACAATCGCGCCAAGACTGTGAGTCACACCGGCGATGACACCGTGACTGTGAAGTAATTTCGACAATCGAGCTGTGACCATGAGTCATTTCGGCCATCATGTCGTGACCGTGAGTCATTTCAACGATCACGCCGTGATCGCGGAGTCATACTGACGATGAAACCGTGATCGCAATTCATATCGACCATCACGCTGTCACCTCGAGTCATTCAGACAAACACGCCGTGACCGCGAGTCATACAGACGAACACGCCGTGACCGCAAGTCATTTCGACCATAACACCGTCACCCCAAGTCACAAGTTTGTATACCTTTAAGTTTTAACATTTTTTGTTTGTTTTTATAAATCAGTGCCATAAGTGGTAAAAATTGATTTTGTTTGTCTTTTTTGGTAACTGCAATACTCAAGACGTTTAAAATAAGGAAAAATGCACAGGAAAAAATTCCTGTCCTGTCCCGTCTTGAAAATAGGGAGGGAAATAAAAATCCTGTCCAGTCCTGTCCCGAACTAAAAATGCAATCCCGTCCATCCCTAATTTATTCCCAATATTAAATTCACAGTTTGGTTATATTTGTTATTTTTGTATTTTTGTTACCTTGTATCTCATTGTTTTTATTACAAGGCAAACTCCAATTATCCAAATTAATCTGTGATAAAACCGATTCAAATATACGGAAATTTGGATACTCGGGTTTACCCAAAGAATTAAGCACAAATCATCGCCATAAATTAAAAAAATTAAAAACATCATGTTAACAGAGAAATTACAAGCATACATACAATCTGTTTTGGGTACAGAATAGTGCCTTTAAATCACTAATCAAAGGGTCAGAAAAATAAGAGCTATCATATTACCTTTGATTGAGATGTAGAATCGGACGGAACTGTTGGGAGGAACAGGCCATTCACATAACACAATGTACTCTATGTAGATGTGATTGGCCCACGGTAACATCAAACATACTTCTAATTGACTTTCCTTTACACTTATATTCTGAAAAAATAAAGTAATAAAATCAATTTTTTATAATACTGTAAGGTGCCTATTTTGAAGGGGGGTGTGCAATCCAAGACATTATCTGTAGTATATGAACTAACCTATGCCACAACAAGGAAAGGTTAGGATAGGTGCAACAGTTATTTGAGGAAGGTGGATCAAACTCGTGTTCACCTATCTGTAGCAAAGCTGGGTGGGAGAGACCTTTCTAAAATAATCGGTGTAAGCTCAGGTAGAAGTTGACGGGTGGATTCATTGAGTGTTTCACTTCACATCAGAATGCGGGAGGGTCCTCAAAAAACGGTGGACTGAGATATTGTTGTTGACATTGCTTGATATCAGAAGATGACATTCCTAGAGTGCTGGAATGGCCTGATAGTAGATCTCTGCAGAGAAAATTCTTCACAAATCAGATCTTACACATTCAAGTCTCCAAGTCCAACACCAACATAATGCCTCCTCACTCACTTGGACGAAAAAAATACTGAGAGAGTTTAGACAAAAAAACTAAACAGTACAATCCAATGGCAGAGAATGGAAAAAACAGTTCAATGCAAATATCTAGCAGTGTGTAGCATTTAAGCAAAGAAGCGATATCATAGCTATACTCGCAGGAACAAACAATACCCTCAACAACACAACAAATGATATTTATAGAAACATTGAGAAAAAATTGCAAGAATTTGACAAAGATAAAAAGTTTTTCTTTGCACTATTCCGCAAACACAGTTAACAGTTCAACAGCTCCAATACAATAGCATCCTGCAATAGCACAATAACAATAGCACAATTCAACTACACATGTTCCAATTAGTAAAGTCTATGATTCTTCTTGATCATACATTGACCTTCTTGTTAAATTTTGTCCCGTTTAAGAAAGGATACTGCTACTCTACATTTAGTTTTACTGTGTTAATTACTAAAATGTAAATTATCATTCAATATCAAGTATGTAATTATTACTGCAAACAATAAAATTTTACCTTAATCATGAAGCCTTCATGGAGGCGACAACAGAGCACACTTGCTAATGAAGCATTCAAATTGTCTTCTGTCTGTTTTTTCATTAGGAGTTGTGGCTCTCGGTTTCCATAGAAACTGTGGTTGCTGAAAAGATAAATACAGCTTTTGGTTTGGATTGTTGCATTTTTGTTGCCGATCGTTATTTGCCGTTTACATAATGCCATTATGCAATAGCAATATTGATGAATTTAACTAATTTAAAGTTATATCTTATATAGGCCTAGTCTTAATGTATGGTTTGTTTGTAAGTAAGCTTCCCTATAGGTTGAATAAATTATTGGGATGGATAAAAGGTGTTATTTTAGGTTAAGGTTTGGGGTTTGTCTTGATTTGGTGAACCATTAGTGAGATAATTTCCATCTTCTCAGCTGTTATTAATTGCATTGTGCAATTAATTAAGTGAGATTGGGGTAGCATTTTTGGTGGTAACAGTAAGAGTTAAGATGCTAATTATTTGTATAATATTAAGTCCTTAAATATTTGGCTCAATTGTGCTACCTCCTATTTAACATGTCCTTAAGAGGAACTCAAAGCAAAGTAATTAAACAACAACACTTTTTAACTACACTTACCTCACAAACCACTCCCCCATACGAGGTGCTGGCGTAGACAACTCATGAACATTTGCTCCTTTGTTGAAACTCCAAGTAAGAAAAGCTTCATGGTAAGTATTCAAGCCTTCTTGACCGTAATTCTGCAACAAATAATGATGGTTTTTACTGGAAGTGGAAAGGTATAAATTCCATATACATCCCATCAGTGTTGTAGTTTCCTGGATTAGAATAAAGAAAATAAAAGAATACAGCAGTGCAATTTTCAAAGAACAGCTAGTCCGAAATTTCTTTCACTATTGTACAGAATTATACTAGGTTAACCCTAGAGCTGGCACTAGTGTAACGCAGTACTGGCATAGGGATATTATTGATTATGTAATATCATTTTTAAACCATCATAAAAATTAGAAATAGCAACATAACTATGGATTATTATATATCATTTTGTTCAGAATAAGACAAATAACAATAATATAGGTGGTTTACATGGTTACCACAAAACAATTTTTTTTTAGTTTTTCTGAATTGTAGGCATTATTAATTTTTTTATAAAATGTTTTTATATTCCGTCGTGTAGCTAAGTGCAGGTAAGACTTATCATCATAAGGTAAGTTGTAAAGTTGTAGTAAATTTTGTGCTGATTCCAAAAATATATAGTTTGTATAGCTTATTTTATGTATTTTGTTTGATAGCCATATTATTTATTATGTTGATAACGATAACAATAACGACAAAAACAATAACAAGCGATCGCGATCTTTTACATAGAGTTCAAATCACTCCAAAGAGGTAAAAAAATTTTAAAAGTATTGTAAATAAGTACTATAACTTGTGAATTTTAGTTTGATATGAGTTTTGAGGCGTTTTTAACGGATTTTCGGCCAAAAAAATGCGTAACCATTGACGCCTGCATTGGCGCCGTATATCCGGCGTTGCCATTTCGGCCCCGGCCGTTCGCGCCGTATTTCCGGCGTTTGCCGGCGCTAGAGTTAATGCTTTACATCACTATCAAATTAATTGTTTGACATAGGCTAGACTTGCAATAGCCATTATTTGATCCATATATAAAATACATTTAGATATAAAATTGTGAATAACAGAAAGGAAATTTTAAGGGTGTAACATAGAGCACAAGGGCTTAGGTTTTTAGGTTTTTTTAGAGGATAGCAGGCTCACCCGAATGGGAAAGAGTCCAAACTGGCACAGGAAATACAAAACTTTACACTATATACACAAAACATTAGATTTGTGTATATTTTGTGTATATAGTGTAAAGTTTCGTGTTTCCTGTGCCAGTTTGGCCTCTTTCCCATTCAGGTAAGCCTGCTCTCCTCTAAAAAAACCTAAAAAAGAAAATAAAAATTTTCTGTGATCTGAGAGAAAAGTTACTTTAAATAAGGGACATATTTCAAGGTTATTTTTGATTACCTGAGTGCCCGAGTAAGGGATGTAGGTTCCAAAAGTGGCACAGGATATGAACTGCATGAGCTCGCTGTAGGGGACCAGCCCTTGTGCACAGTGGGGATGAAACTGAGACCCAACATGTAGGAAGGAGACTGCCACGGCATTGGTTCTGAGCTGGGTGAGAACTAGGTCTAGAACATGGATGTCTGGCAACGATATCACTCCGTCCGTCACAACCACCAGATCTGGACAAATCAAATGTGTATGTGTATAAATTTATATTCAGCAAAGTTAACAAAAACTGTGATTATTTGCATAGGTCTATAAACTAATGAAATGTCAATAAATACTACCTGAAGCTAAATTATTTTTTTTTAATTGGCCCTAAAATACATGATACTTTGTGCAAAATGAGTTAAAAAATCAATTATAGAATAAAGACACAAGAAAAAAGTGATGATCTTTAACTATTTTGTGTGTAAAGTTCAAAAATTTTCTTTGGCTTAATTTGTTCTGTGCGGTTATTGTAGATTGCTTAACTTTGTACCTAGATGAACCAGCTGTTCTCTGCACAAGGTATTACAGATCACTCATGGGTAGAGTGTTATGTTGATGGAAGATTTTTTTTGTTGGCAAGTTCCCTATATAGGGAATAAGCTATTACCAAAGGTCTCATGCTAAGACCTAGATCCAAACCGATTTACTTTTTGTTTTGAGGTCCTTAGAAGCCAAAAACACTACACGTTCAAATTCATATACAGGGTGTTCAAAAAAGGTGGGGAAATAATTTACGAAGTGATTACTTGGATCAAATTAAAGAGAAAATCAAGGATAACTTTTTTCCAAAATCGTTTTGATAACCAGATACCCGCCATTTTTGTGTTTTTATCATAAACATTTTTATCTTTTAAGTTTTTCAACAGATCTTTATGAAACTCGGTATGTATGTATATTAAGGTAGAAGAGACACATGTTGGAAAAAAATTATTTTGATTCAACTTAAAATTTCAAGATGGCAGCCATTTTAATTTTTTAAACTTAAGTTACGAAAATATGGCTGATATAATGAAAAAATGTCAAGAACACTTTTATTTAGAATTTTTATTTCTCAATCAAACAATAAGTTCAAAAAGATACCTAGGGTAAAAAATAGCTGAAATACAACGATTTTTAGTTGTAAAATGAGGCAAACCTGACTAGCTTAACCTTATTCCAACCCATTTTACAACTAAAAATCCGTATCCATATACGTTATTGAAGTTGACATATACCGTGTCATTGCCCAGCCATATAATTTATAGACGCCGACATATTCTGTGACATTGCCTAGCCATATAAGCTATATTATTTTATATCTTATTACATCAACCTTTAAACATTACCAATTTATTTTTAAACAGTATGATTTAAATTAGATTTCTGTAAATATTAAGTATCTGGATCCGGATCTGGTACCGACATTTTCTAGGATCCGCCCATCATTAATTAGTAGATTACCTACAGTGTTATTTTCCAGATTCAGAATATCTGTTTACTATCTGTGGCCCCTCTCCCAATTACTCCAGATAATCAAGGTGTATTTACTCTACAGACAAATTGAGCATACTTGACAGACTGCTGTGGGGTAAGAGTCGCAGCGCCAACATCCCGTAGCGCAGCAGGTTGATGAACCCAGAGTCTGGACTGACCATGGGAATCTCAGCCGTAGACATCTGGACCCTCTCTGATGACTCCTCAAACAGTCCTCCTACCAGCCTGTCTGACTCCATCTACACCAGAAGACAATCAACTAAGATTGAGGACTGTTGTGAGAAATGTATGTAAGAAAAATGTCTTTATGTTTCCATAAGTTGTTTTAAAAGAATACATTCTCCACGTAATCTTGAAACAAAAAATAAGTATAATTTGCAAAAGAACAGTCCTCACTTAGATGGTTTAACGATGTGTTAGGGAATGTCAAAATAAATTCCGGGAAAAATGGGAAATCAAAAAAATACTTTGGAAATTTGAAGAGATACTTTACAAAGAACTGAGGGGTTTCAGGTCGCACCAACACAGATTGGTTTTCATTCTACCTAGAAAACCTCGTCCACTATGCCAAACAGTGCTCGGAAAAACTCGGCGGACTGAACACGGTTTTGGAAATGAGGCAAAGTTTGGACGACGAAAGTACAACCGTGGCCGTAGAGTAGAGGGCCAGTGGGTCTTTGGTGGCGTGGAACCTGAATCATGGAAGTCGTTCTTGGTGGCTGTGTATGCTATGTTGGTACCCTCCTTGAAATTGTTAGGCAGTAGGTTTTACGAGGAACCACTATTTATAGTGATTGCTGGAAGGCTTATAATTGTTTGAAACATGAGGGATATCAGCATCCAACGGTCAACCACTCCTTGCACTTCAAGGAACCTAACACCGGCGACCACACTAACGCGTAGATAGCAACTGGCGAGATGTCAGATCTACCATTCCAAGGTGTTAGGAAGGTCCATTTAGTTGGTTATTTGGCTGAATAACAATTCAAGCGCAAATACCCCGACAAAAGAGAACAACTCCATGCGTTTCTGATGGCGGCGGCGGCCCTAGCTATCCTCCCATCTGCACCTCATGGGTGAGTAATTTTACATTCTGATTTATACTAGGCCTATTTATGGTGTATTTTGTTAGGTTATAACGAACGGAGTTGTTAGTTTATGTTTCGTCCAATTAAAACACTGGGGAAAAATACTGCAAAATACAATTTTTGCAGTGTCTTACCAAGGCCCCACTAGAAAAACAGGCCATGCTGCAGCAGGGGCAGCGCAACACTACGTCACAGTGGTGGATAGTTGTACTAAACTCTTACCATTTAAATCTTACAAACAGCCAGCTAGTTTATTTACCTAAAACATATGGGAATGGCAATGGCAATGAATTTATCAATGAAATCTATCCACTAGTGTGACGTCATGGATCCTGCAGCATGGCCTGTTTTTTCTAGTGGGGCCTTGGTCTTACCCAGTGTTTTAATTGGACAAAACATAAACTAACAACTCCGTTCATCATAACCTAAACTTTACCTTCCTAATCTATCCTAACTTCAAAGGATTTAATGCAGCCAAGAATTCTCATAAGGACGACCTACATGCCTTTTCTGATATCAAAGGAAATTTACTAACGGTTAGAAGTTCGGTTAGGTTAGGTTAGGTTTCATTAATTTTGTGAAGGTTTTAGGTGAGTGTACTATTATTTTTAGGCTTTTCCCCACCCAATAACCCTGATTCCCACCAATCCCCCAGATGGTAAGTTATGGGTTAGGAGGGGTTAAATATGATTTCCTCTAATTTATTTTAGGTTTACTATACATATTAGGTCTTATTTGAAGTATTTCTGTAAAAATTACTTTAAAACACCATATGTCCGTGGTGTAAAAATTAAAAAAAGCAGATTTTAAGTGGATATTTTTTCACATGTAAAAGAGGTTGGTAGCTTCTTTGCACCTTGCATTTGCCTGTTCTCAAAAGCTGTGAAATAACTTGGAGGCTTAATAGGAGCAAACGTTTACCAGATGATTCCAAAACTACTTGTTCAGTGGCTTGAAATGTAATTTAAAATACTATAATATAAAGCAATAATCTTTTAAACAAAAAATAACTTTTTGTACCTGTCGGATGCGTAAAGCCTCTAGTTGGTCGTACGCCAGTGCAGATACTTCCGCAATGGTATCCTCTAATAGCTGAAGCTGTTTACGGATTGCGGCCAGGAACTCAGCCAAGTTGTCTTGTGTCACCTGCCATCCTTGAACTAGGACCTGATGAAATAAAATAGCCATTTATTTGATTTTCACCACCCCATAGAGTAAGCAGCTACTTTCTGGTCTCTTTGTAGACCAGACAGTCGTTGTACAGGAAGGGAGAAGTAAAATCAGCTGGAGTTCGGTAAATTTACCAAACACTCCTACAGGACACTTTTTAAAAAAGGCATTAGAATGAGTTATGAGTTTCTTCAGTAGGTTCTCAACAAAAATAGACAATGAATATCAGACAGGTTAGACGGACAAGTTGTACTTTCACAATAAATATTTAAAGGATTTCAAAACAATTACTTATTATAAAAGTTGATAGTTCTGTTAAAATTATGTATATTAAAAATGTTGTGATTGTATGTACATGTTGTGCTTACTTATCGTGTATATTTATTGTTGGTAGTATGGCGAGAATAATTGTAAGCGACCCACCGGGGAAGGTGTTAACAGTACTTGTATGAAATAGGAAACTATCATGCTCATACATACACCTACTTTCCGGCCTTGTAGCATAATACAATAGCTGTCCAAAAAGTAAGAGATGGGCATGGGTGCCTCTTGGAGCGGGGCTATCGGTGCTATCTTAGCATCAGAATATTTTTATACTCATTTACCCATTCACCTAAAGTAGCGTGTGCATCACATCTCTTGTACGTTGTCAATGTTTAAATGAGCACTGGTATTGCAAATCACGCCATGATCAGATTATTGTTGGCAAAATATCACACGCCAATTGAAATTTATAACCAGATTTGTGATGTTTGGGACAAAAGACTAATAAGTGAAGGCGGCATGAGACAAAGTTATATATCAGATCTCAGAAGGATTTAGAGAGTACAGCACATTATACAACACATTTTTAGAGAGGAGGATATAGAAGGATTTTTATAGTCTCAACACAAGTTAGACACTGCTTCCATTACTGTATAGCCATTGCGTGACTTACACAAATGAGGTTTTCCAACCCATAGGCTTAGTTAATGTTCAGGTTTAATACAATGGACGCTCATCTGCACAGCAGTTGTTTGTAGTTCCTGGCATGTACAGCCCTCTACTAGGTAGGAATTGGATAAGACAACTTGGAGTCCACTTGAACAATCTTGACACCCAGACACCAAAAGATACTAATGTAAACTTAGTTTCCAGTGATACAGACAAACTAGTTAGTGCAGTAGAATCAAAGAAATAGGACATATTCCTAATGTTACCTGCTCTCTAAAGTTCTCAATCCAAACCAGCATTTTCAAACCTAGACCTTTACCCTATGCACTCCAGGATAGAGTGGGACATGATCTTGACAAACTCAAACAAGACAAAATCATCACTAAAATTGAATCATGCGACTGGGGTTCACCCATATTTGTAGTGCCTAAGCCTGATGGTACACTGAGGTTATGCGCAGACTACATAGTCACAGTCAACCCTCAACTCTAAAATTCACACACTATCCGATTCCTAGGATCGACGAAACGCCAATCTGATAGGCGTTTCACAATCTGAGGAACGCCAAGTTTTTCTGTACACTTGACCTCTTTAAAGCTTACCTATGTATAAGGTGTCGATGAAGAAAGTTCTTGTTTTCAAACTCAACCCATAAAGGTACTTACAAAGTCAACAGATTGTCTTTTGGAATCAAGACTGCGTCCAGCATATTTCAAAAAGTAATGGAACAAGTTCTACAAGACCTCCTAGGTGTCAGCTCTTACTTTGACGACATAATTGTCTACGGATCAAATGACAAATGACAATTCTTTATTGCAAATAACATCTGTTACAATTATTACAAACGTAATACACAGACAGGTACATTGTCAAGGTTTCTTATAAATAAGAAATTCTAAATATATAAAAAAATCTTAGATTTAGCCAGTAAGGTACCCCTACAAAAGCTACAGCATGGTGGAAATGCTTATGTTAGGAGAGGTTGATGAGAGAAAGGCTGTCTGTTACCAGGAGGAACTGTGATGAATGAATCTTCACCTCAATCGAATTAAACGCACATTCTTCCAAGAAAGAATCACATACTTAGGATATGTTATTGAAAATAAAAAGATGTCCAAGTCTCCAGCAAAAGTGTCAAATATCCTCAATATTCAAAGACCAAATTCAGTAGAGGAAGTGAGAAAGTTTCTAGGACTTGTAAATTATTATTCAAAATTCATTCCAGCAGATTCTACCATAATTTACCCTATACACCAGTTACTCATAAAGAATAAAACAAACAACTGGACAAAAGAATCATGTTAGAATGTGTTTTAGAATCATGTTATCGATTTATAAGAAGAAATAGTTTAAATGATTATTGATTTTGTATTGATATAGGCAACAGAATTTAGTTAAAGTAAATGTAATTCTATGATTCTACAAAATTGAGTAAAAGCAAATTTTATGTTGATAAAATATATCCTTTTAAGTAAATGATTAAAAGCTCCATAAAAACAAATTTCAGCACATTAAAATTTCTACAAGATCGTCTTTAAAAAGGGACATTATTCTTTACCAATGTAATGATTTCAGAGAGGAAACGTTATAAATGATAAGAGTGTGTCAACTACTGTCCCTAGTTAACAGCCCATTGTTATTCTATCTTATCTTATTTCCATTTAACATAGAAAGTGGCTATGCTATCTGTGATTGTTTTCTTTAAAAAGTAAAAAAAAATATCAGCTATTTTGGCTCTCTTACCACCAATAGCTTTATGTGGAAGTTAAGAATGCAAAGAAAAGATTTATTCTCGGAGAAGTATTTTGGGACCTAAGCATTGATGATGCATAACATAGTAGGTGTAAAATTTCCAAGTTCCTTCAACTTCATGAAAGAAAGCATGTTTAAGTAAGGAGAAACATCATTTCTATGGTTCAGCTTAAATAAGAACCTGATACAAAATTGTAAGTTGGCTTGAGTCTGAAAAACCACTGGAAACACTGGAGTCTCCATTCACTGTAGATGGGATGGGTAAAGACAAGTTTTAACAACTATTCCCATTAGATTAAATGGAAAGTACTCTGCAAAAAATTAGATCATTTTATAGTATTAAACGTTTGAGCTTTATATTAGAGATATCTATGCAATAGCTCAAGAGCTGACTAATATAGCAACTGGTTTGTTGTAATATACCACATACCTGTTGGGCCGGTGAAGTGAAGAAAGGAGTGTGGACAATCACCGTGACAAATATTTGGGGCTCAAACATTATCTCAGAGCCCGGGATGATCAACTGAAATACAATAAATAAACTAACATCATTATATCAAAAAAATAATGAGTGGAAGTGTTTCAAAATCAGCATGCGAGTTTGATGTGTTCCATTTCTTAAACTTCTTAAATTTCATTATTTTATTCAAATCTCACATGGTCAGAAACTTGTTGTTCTCAACTTATCCATTTATTTATTTTTATTATTTCTCATAGTTTTAGACTGTTACGTGTTAACTTGATTATTTATTCAAAAGCTAAAAGTATATTTTTGTTAGGTTTTTCATAATTTGTTATTGTGACTATATTATTTATTAACTCATGCATATTGTTTTACATTTTTGTTGAGCTTCTCATATATTGTTATAGCCTATATTTGTTTTTATATTCTAATATTGTTACTTTGTCAAAATTTAATATAATATATGCACATTAATTCAATTTTTCAAAATCCATATTTTTTGTCCAAGCTAAATTTTAAAATTAGAATGATTTAAGTCAAATGATATTTGGATCTGTGATTTAATTAAAAATGATGAATCTGTAAATAAATTTAACAAAATTAAATTTTAGATAAACATAGGATGTAAGTACTGTAATCAATAAAAAAAGAATTTTAACAATACAATGTACCTCCAGCTTTTTTAATGAATAAATCGATTGATTTAGATTTTTATGTATCTTTATTTATAAGATTTGGCTAATTCCTTTATTTCATTGTATAATTTTGAAATACAATAAAACATCTATTTTATTTCTTCCTCATAACAGCAAACTTAAGTACTCATTGAACCAATGTTATTTATATTTGGCAAGAATTTGGTGTACGTCGTTTAAAATTATTAACATATTTAAATAAGTCATCCGCTTGGTTATCAAAATGCAAATCTGTTTGACGCGACATGGGTTTGACATGGGTCTCATGGGTAATCATTGTTCATCAGCTAAATTTTTACATTGGAATCGTATAATAAATTATCCATCCAGATAAATGAATCTTAATACACCACTCTCACTGTTCCAGAACTAGGATTACACTCCATTTCAAGCAACATGTATATTAGTTAATTAATCATTATAGGTCAGAAAACACACTATACTTATAATGCAAATAATGATATTTAGTATGTTATTCTAGTAAAACTCACATTTATAAAAAACATGTTAACATGATCCCTACCTAATAACAAATGTGGTACCGGTACTAAAAGATAATTTGGAAACGTGTTAAAAATGATTTATTAACATGTTGCCTACCGCCCGACGTGCTCCACTGTATGGGTTCTTTGTGACACCTGGTAGTGAGCGTGTCCATAGTATTTGAGACGCTTCACATTACCAAACTATATGTTCATTATAAAATTTAAATTACAGCAAAGACTTACCTTACTAACCACCCCGCTGAGGCTCTCATTCAAAACATCAACAATTTCGTCTAGCATTACTTTGCCATGCTGAATGTCCTGAAAGTAATTACCGTAATATGACAAATTGTAACCATTTTTAAATTTTAAGATTGAACACAATTTTCCTTTTGACATCAAGTGCTTAACTTATACATCATTTATGTATTTTTTTAAATTCAGTACCGGTAACTCATAATTATAATACCAGAAAAAAAAAAAATCATATTGAACTATTGCAGACTAGTTTTTAAAAGAATTTTATATTGAAACACATCCATCACACACAGAAAATTAGTTCTTTCAAAATATTGTCAAAGAGATTAGAGGATAAACTTGCTACTTATGCGACACATGCAAAAGTTTGCTACCACTCGGAATCTAGAAACTCCATCAAATACCCCTGTATTTGATATAACCATTTTCTATATTTCTCTGTGTTGTGTAAACTGTGATTGTGTTTTAAAAATAATTCTGACAACACTTAAGAAGTGGATCTGACAGTATCATGGCAATGGTAGAGTTCTAAATACAGTAAACTCTTATCCGGACACCTTTTAACCGAACATCGGTTTGACCGGACTACACTCGGTAGAAGAGACATCTCTTTATCCGGATAATTTTTATCAGCACATCAGTTTAACCGGTCTAGATTGGCAGGAAGTGGGCGGTACTGAAACGACTGTTCTCATGGGAAAGATTTGAGACCAGTGATTACGTGTCTAAATACAATGCTCTCCTAATTTTAAGTCAAATACTGTATAGAGTATGCATTTAAACGGTCCGTTTTAACAAGATTTTGGGGACGTCGAATTAACTGTAAAAGCCGTTATCCGGGAGTCTACTGACACAGACTAAATATATACTAGCAAGTTTAACTTGACGCTGCTTTACTATTTACTACCCAAGGAATGTTAGCCATTATATGTAATCTCATCCGTCTACAATTACTACATCTACAATTACCTTATATGACTTTCCTAATATATATCACTTACCACTGCTGATATAGAAGGACTCATGTCTAGACAATAGACAGTGCTGTAGATCTCACTAAAGAATATAACGTTGGTATTAGTAGTGACCAGGTATTGGTACAGATGACGTGTGCCAACATTCCAGGCTTCGGGGCAGTCCTGGGGGAGGATTGACACAACTGCCAACTCACAATCCGAATCACCCTACACAGTTGCACAAGTGAAAACCATGTCATAAAAGCGACAATTTTATCGTGCAGATGTCGCGGGAAACAGGGCAATGAATCGATGACCACAGCGGGAAACACATATCGTAGCGCTTATTCCTGTTATACACAGTGCTCACAGTGTGTTGCCATTGTCATTCACTAGTTAATACGACTAACACCATCTAATTGATTTGTTTAGTATTACGGAAAGTAATGCTTAAGTGTTTAGTATTGTTACATATTTTGGAAAGACTTTTAGTTATGTATGCAGTTTTCAAACGTAATAGCAAGTAATACATTCTTATTCCAAATAAATACCTACGATTTTTTAAATAATGTGTTATTCTCTTTACAAAACCGGTCAATACATTCCAAATGTTCCAGAAGTTGTAGTTTATCCATATAAAAAAATATATTTTTTAGGCACAATCTGTAATGTTTAAACCAGAGATGACAACTGCGCATCAGGTTCGCTTTTACAACGCTGTGTATAACCTTTTTCTGCTTTATGTCCATCTTGGTGTTAGCGTGGCAGGTTGCGCAAGCACCGAACAGCGGTTGACTAATGTCGATTCGCCGACGACAATGCCGCTCGTATATACAGTATAGATGCACCTGTGCCCCAACTATGTGTTGATGCTATCACGTCGCTAGATGTACTGTGACATTCACCTTCATATAACATGGCCCTATCATGAATAATAAATTAACATTCATCTATTTAATCATTAATGTATTTTAGACCCCAATAATAAAAAGTTGAACTATTGGACAGAAAATTTCATGTAGGCCTATACATAAATCCTACTGCTTACTTTTAGTGTGGATAGCTTTAGGCGATAGTGTAAGGTTTACAAATTCCTTGCTAGGTCTCGGTCAATGTGCTATGTAATTCCACTTTTTCAAAAATGGTCATTAAAATGGAAGCTTACTTAGACATTTCTCATGGAGCACCATGTATGTGGGCTAAAAATGTTAATGTAGATGTATTTTTAAGATCAATTTACTCTTAGCATTCCCTCTCCAAACTTTTTTTCTTTACGTCAGACAGTTACAGTTTAGACAGACTATTATTTTTTAGGTGTTTAAATAGATAACATATGATAAATTATTATTTATAACATTCACATATATTTTAAACTTAAAAATTCTATGTACCGCAATAGTATAGGAGAGCTTTGATACAATAAAACACGCAAGTAATAGGCCTAATCGTTTTTGTTCAGCCTTTTTTCACGACCATGCTATTGTTTGGAAGTGTGTTGGCCAGGAGTATTGGCTTCACATGTATTTCCAGGCTATTGTTGCCAACATCTCAACAAAAGTTCCCTGCGAATCCCTCACATTAGGCTCCCGTTTGATTTGCGCTCAACCAAAAATAAGCTCGGCTTTCACTTTATCACGCTCTGTCCCGTGAACCTATTTTTTAGGCGTCACTTATATAGTCTGGAACTGTCGTCTGGTCGCAGACTATGAAATCCCGCGCTTGTGAACCGCCCCTAAATATTAAAATAATGATTGTTCTGATTGTGTATTTATAATTGTAGATGGCTATATTTTATAAGGCTCGATTATAACAACACTGTTATTGCCTGCCAAGATCACAGCAACATCATTATAATTTCAAGCGATCTTGGCGACACGATCTTCCGCAATCACGATGATACTATGATCGACTTTAGCGTTCACGGCAACCTAGTAAGATACAATAATCTAAAAAAGGTTATTCGGATTAGAAGGAATCTAGGATTAGTGAGACTCTGGTGTAGGCCACTGTAAACTTATAGCAAATTTAAAATTCTAGAGATTTGAACTGTTAAAGGTTGGATAAAAACAGCATCAGGTCTTTACTTGATCCAAATGTTTGTAACGTAAAATGTATTCAGTGCTCAATGAATAAGATAAATAACAGGAATTACCACATTTTTGCTTGGTTGAAGGGAGATGGTAGTGTTGAGGTGTTGGAGAAACCATTGAGCTCGCACATTTCTTGATATGTGGTAAGACTTATTCATCAACAGGTATATCACACCAGCCACCAAAACATTTCTGGTCTGGAATAAATAAATAAATGCATTGTAAAATAGTAGGCTATATGGTATATAGCCAATTAAATACCTACTGAAACGTTTCTTTTGATATCTAGTCAGTGTTTAGGGGTCAACAGCTTTGTTATCATCTAACAATATTCACTAAGTAGGCCCTGGTGAATGTTTAAAAACTCATGAATGATGCGTATAATGGCCAATCATCATAATAGGCTCCAAAAATGTCATTATCAAAATTGATTATTTAAGAGATAATATCTTTGTATAAAATACAATATTATTATATTATCTTTATATTATAGATTATATTTTGTACTATAATCGGTTCAAACGTATATCCTATGTATCCTGACTTTAAGACGAAATTGTTAACATCTCCCGCAAAGGCAAGGACAACATTACCGTCCCCCGCGATCGCAGTGAAATTGTGAACACGGAACTGAATAAAAAATAAATACGTCGTCCTTGGTCACGACAAATTTGTAGTTGAGTCCCCTGCGGTCGTAATGAAGGTAAAATCGTGGGCATCATCCACGATCGTGAATAGTGAACATATTCTAATATAATAAACATCTTGCGCCATTACGTGGCCATTACCATCTATTACGATTGTGTCGAAATCTTTGCAGACGCGTTTGACGATCGTGAGAAGTTCTACTCGGAAAGTAGTGCCCCCTAACTAGCAGATTATTGGAAAAATTTATTTCCAAGAGAAAAAAGACATTATTTTGCCCCCTCCCAGACTGAGGCCCTCGGCAATTGCCGTGTCCGCTGTTATGGGAATACGGATTTGGGGGGCTATGTTGGTGTGGGGCCTGGAGGGGACCAGCCCCCACCCCCCACCTCCACGGTAAGTTACGCCACTGATGAAAATACTCTACTGTTCAGGGGTTTAGAAAACTTACGTGGGTATCAAAGGCCTGTTAATACTGAGATAACAACAACGTTATAACAATACAACTTTGGCTTAGTTGGTGAGAAGTTGGCAACTGTAACTTAAGTGAGACTTATGTCTGTGAGAGTGGTGAAAAACAGAGTGCATATTGGGTTCCATACACCCAGAGTAGCAAAAGTGTCTTAACATTAATAAGTTATCACATCACCCTTCATGTTAAAATTGTTGAAAACACTTGAATAGTGATATGGCCAGAGATTTAAGGTATTATGGGTTTCATAAGTCATGATTGATACAAACCAAATAATTGATAAGGGAAAATAACCAAATCATTAACAGAAGTTATAAGCCTAGGCCTAGTCATTATGATAAAGGTTTCTGTATTTTGTACTTACATCGCCAGTTTTGTTGGGGGATTTCTCAGAAGCCATTGATTGACCATTGAAATTATAGAAATCCCATTAACTTTAGTACAGTAAGTTCATTGCCATTGGTCAATATTTTTAAAACAATAGATGGCTATTGTTCCTCTATCATAGTATGAAATATATGGCATAATATAATCCAGATAACTTAAGTTTAATATAGACTACTTTAAGCACACTACTATTTCATGACTATAATATTTTGGCCTTTTGGTATTGTCAAAAAAATTCTACAATAAATAACTGGATGGTAATTTTAATATGTTCTAAGTTTAGACAGATGAAATTTAGGTTAATGTGTTACATTGTACAACTTCAATGGGCTACTAAAAATAACATTTAGACAGTGTCACATAAAGTCAGTCATTCCCAGAGATAACTAATTTGTGTGAACACATTTTAAACTCGGTAACTTTCTATAACATATATGGTAAAGTTAATTTTCAGTCTCAAACAAAAAATATTTTTTATAACCTAAAACTGTGACAGCTAACATTGGCAGCCAACCTGACTGATCTTATTCCTAAATGAAATCAAAACAAGTCGTAATGACAATAATAAAAATAATGACGTAACTTCTCAAGTGTCTCAATAGCAGAACAGACCTCCCCAAATGCGCATTGGCAGATACCCGTTCCTGTTATGAAGCTGCGACTTTAGGCGGTCGACACACGGGAAGACTGAAACCCAACTAAAGTTGAATCATAGATTAAACATACTCTATGTTTTATTTATGGTTGAACCATTGAGATAAATAGATTATACAGTAACTGGGGCCCATTTCATAATAAAGTACAAACTAATATTATTAGTAAATCAGCTGATCGCCCAATGCAAATCTAATGGAAATTACAAGTTACAAGTTGTAACTTGTAACTCGTAGTTTATTATGAAACGGGCCCCAGGAGTCACTACTCTTTTGTTAAACATCAGAGCAAAACGTGCCACTATTTTTACAGGTTTGATTACAGTGTTTCGTGTTGTTTGGTTGGCTGTGTGGTTATTTGTTGGGTGTTGGGATGCTGTCAAATTCCAATTCATTCTAACCCAACCATACTATTTATTTGGGGCTATCCGTTATTTCAAGGACTTGTATCAAAAACTTATTTAAGTTATTGCCCGTTAAAACCTGTGTATTTAAAGTTATTTTGAAACATTATAAATTGTTTTTGGTAGTAAAAAAATACATTATATTAGAACATCAGTATTTCACTTTAATACAAGCAAGAAAGAACAATTATAGAAAAACTGGGCGTTGATTCGACGAGTGAAACAATATAAGTTTTACCCAGTAATAGGCCTACCTCCACTCTTTCTAAAAAAAGCACCATCATTGTTTATTTTTCAAACATTTCAGTCCTTGAACACCCCAATAACAACTCCCAGACCTGCCTCCCAAATCCCTTCCTGATTACCCCCCTAAGGCACATTTTTTCACCCCGACCCCTTGCCTTTTGTTCCTCGTAACATTTGCCAAACTTTGGTAAAATCTTTTAAATAAAGACAAGAAAATTTGTTTTGCAGTTTTAGTTGTTTTTTTAGTTTTACTGAAGAAAAATATGAATGTTCAAGCGAATTTCTCATAGAGGGAAACACCAATAACTACCCCGGTTAACTATTACCGGTACCGTACAGTAGGTCTCGTGGTAAAACTAGGATGTAAATATATTTAAGAACGAGTTTGCGAAAAAGTATGTTTGGGAACGGTGTTTTTGGTGGATTTTCATGGGTAAGCAATTGGGGTTACTTATGTATTCCCTTTAAACTATAAACTTTTGCAGTTTAATTTACTGTATTTCCAAACGATTTAGTAGATCTTAATAGAAAAGAAGAATGTGGTAAATTGAGGCATTGTTTCGCACTTAATGATCATGAAGACAGTAAAAAAATATATAAATTTAAAATTCCTATGTTATTGTTTTGGACAAAAGGCAAACCGTTGTAGTTTCTATGCTTATGTTTAGTTTAAATTTGGCAAAATAATTCATTTCATATTATTCTAATTGAATTTAACTAAATATTATCTTAATTCCTCTGTATCCGAAAACTAGGTAATCAATAATGTTATTTAAATACAGAATAAATCTGACATGTTTAACGAAATGTGTTTGTGAAATTCCAATCAAGCAAATGAAAATTTGCTTAGTCTAGTACTAGTGCAGCGGGGGTATTTATTATTGTCTCATTAACAGTAGCTGCAACGCTGCAAGAGACAAACAAAAGTCGTTCCTCCAGGTTTTCAGTTTTAATAAAACCGAGATAACACTTGCTTTAATTAACTAAACGCATATTTCTTCCTTATTTTCTTTCTAATAATGAGTGATGGTAGACTGGTGGTGAAGAAAAATATGTGGATTGGTGAGATAAGGTCATGAGCTCAGCAAGAGGCGAGCAGGCTATGATAATACTCTTATGCATTCTGAGCGGTTCCTTGGTATATAGATTATTCTGTGAGTTTAGTACCATTAGAATAATCATGAATAAAATTATATTTTCATTGTGGCTTTTATAAAATTGAAATCACAAACTAAAATAAACATTGGAAAAAAAAATTGACAGGTAAAATTGACACAGTCTGAAAGGTTCTACTAGTATCACTACAAGTTTTTCACTGTATTCGTATTGGTTATTACCGTTTGAATGAATAAATAAATAGAGTCCCACAGTTGAACTTTAATCTACGAATATACATAACAATTAATTATGCCTTGCTATAAATTGGCATGTACTGTGAATTCAAACGGTTGCCAGAGTTTACTTTGGTTCCCAATAGAATGCGTTGTTATGCCAACTTTAGCTGAACGTCTGTACACCATGTTTAACCTTCTCCCGCTCTCGCTCCTGTCAAAATTACCCAGAATGCACCACGAAACAACATGAGGGAGTAGGTAAGTACTCATGGAGTTTAGTGTTGTTTTGGTTGATTCCGAGGACGGAAACCCTCGTAATAATATTAGTTCTTGCCGGTCACAAGATTCTTGTGCTTTTAATAATATCTTAAAATTGTTTTTACTCTATCATAATGATATACATACCCTATTTATAAATACTCGCCTGTTGTCACCCTTGGGGAATTCGGTTAGCTGTACGTATGTTACATATTTTTAAATACTTAATTAAACCCTCTTGTCATACATTACTATTTGAATATAATTTACCTAATTTTTTGTAGATTCAAATTCAATCCACAGTTTTTAACCTTCTTACTCCGTAATCTTATGTTTTAATTCCGGCATCTGTTAGCAAACATAACCTCCAAACTGCCATAACCTCTTTTGTAATATATTTCTGTTTTTAGATATATCTGCTGATTTAAAATTTAAATCATGTAATATTCGTAATTTTTCTTTAGAAAGCCATTATTGAAAATAATGTTACATTCATACTCTTTACTCTTCATAATTCTGTGTTGCTATACCTTATATTGTAATGTTATGATTTTTGATGAGGTTAAGTTGTCAAACAATATAAGTTATGCATTGCAGGGATTAGTTTTATTTTGCAATTTTTAGGATAAAAGTAAAACTCGATCTTATACTTCTAATTATAAAATTGCCTTTTTATTTTAAAGTGTCTGCAACTCAAATTGTTTAAACCTTATTTTTCAGATGGAAAATTCGGCTTATGCCCCTAACCCTTTACCGCCTCCCGCTTTAGTAGTCTTCTCTCAGGCCGGTAATCTGCCTGAGGCCCTTAGAATGCAAAGACCCTTCAACACACAGGTTAGTAAATTTATATTTAATTTATTAGTTTAGAAAAAAATATCACCAATGTTAATCAATATAAAAATCTTAAGCTATTAATTTAAGAATCCCCTTGGATGTCATACAGATGCAATTCTGAATGTTACTTATTTCTCAAATTTAAATCTAAAATGTCTACTTTTGCTATTTAATTGGTGATACATAATTATAATTTACAGTAGAGTAAGTTTTTGAAGCAATTCATAATTTAGGAATTTTGACGTTGGCAAATTTAATATAGGCTAATTAATTTTAAAAGGAAAATTGACACTTAATTATTTGTCAGTATATTTTAAACTTGTATTTTATTTAAGAATATGTTTTGCAAATAAAATAATAAAACATGTATTGTCACTTTTGTCATGAATAAGTTAGTCCTTTTTTATTTTAGTGTGCAGTAATGCATTCTACAGTTGCCTAGAAACAAATTAAGATGGTTGTATAAAAAACTTACTATTGAGTACAACCATTTCACTGGCGAAATGTAGAGGGATATATCAGCAATGCCCTTACATTTGCTCAGTTAAGTTTACTTATACTTTGTGTTTTGACAGTTGTTATGTAGGTATGCAGAAAATTATTTTAAATTTAATTAATTTTTTGCAGGCACAAGAAGCTAAGGATATTCAAGTGCCATTCAGTACTACAGGGTTCGGGCTACGGCTTATGGACAGTTATCCTGGGTTGCCAGCCCATCTTTTGCACCACTTGCAACCTCAGTTTCATCTCCATCCGGCTTTGGACCCTCGCTCAGTTCCTTTCAGTCCCGCTTTTCAGCCGATAACTTCGGAAAATAACAAGGCTTTTCCTTCCGCGTTCGCTCCTCCGCCTTCTAAGTGTTTAAAAATGGAAAGTGGTGAAAATAATTCAGAAATGTTCTATCAAAGAGACAGAGCAGAATCAAGTTCTCCGGCCAGTGCTTCAATTTCCCCCACTCCCCCTGTGTCAAATAATACTAAGGAGGAAGTAGACAACAGCACCCCAGAGGAGCGTGATACAGCTACTCCGAGTTCGGAAGTAACAGAGCGGTCAACTCCAGATGAAGGCAGAGGTTTCAGACGTAAGTTATGAATATTTTTTTTAAGCATGGCAAATTTGTAGTGGTTTCAAGATGTATAGACTAAGGCCTACAATTTATCTACAAATTCATTGGTTTTAACAAGTTTTTATGGTTTTTTAACCAGATTGAAAACATGCAGTATGGAGACAGATTTTTCAAAGTTGTCCTACTGCAAAAATAATGTAGCGTAGTTGAAAAGCTTGTCAATTTTACTTTGCATTTTTTTCATGGTGGGATGTAATTCACAGCCATATCCATCCAACTACCTACCGGTGCCTGTAGTTTAAATACTTTTTGTATCTTTTTACTTCTTTACCTTTTTAAATACCTATGTTACAAATGAAAGTGACTGATATAATATATAACTTGATATTTAATGTATTTAAAAATATATTTTTAGATTAATATTTTTAAGTAGTTTGCTATAGCCTAGTATAATTTATTTGCGATTTGGGCTTAATAACAAACTTAAAATGTTAAAAGTGCACATTCATAATGCTATTCAAAGTCTCATTGATAAGGATTAGGCCCCTAATCATTGATGTTATACAAATGTATGCCGTCTTAGTATAAATTACTGGTACCTATCAATATCACAGTAAAAAAGTAAAAAGAAATTTTAAATTAGGTCCAGGTAAGTTATTGACCAAAAGAACCAAATAAAATTTTAAATTTACAGTTTTCCAGTATTTGAATTATTCAATAGATCTAGGCCTAATGTTTTAAAATTTTGTTAGTTTAAATTTTATCTAATTTGAGGACTTAAACAAACCAATATTTTATTCATACAACATAATTGAGTTAACCAAATATTCCGCTAAATTTGTAATTTAACAAAGGTATTGTAAGTTATGCGCCATTTAAGTTTTGTGTTTGTAGGCAATATGACGCTCCTAAATGAAGTCAAGTAAGAAAACATACAATTACTCTAAGATGCATTGTATCATCTTAAAATGCAGAAATAATATAATACCCAGCTTAGAGTGTCTAACCATTATCTGATACTTGAATTCTTGAATTCAGTTCATATTTATTTGTTTTGTTCATTTTGACATATTTCATTATTTTCTCTTTGCTTGAAGACGTTTGTATTAAAGAAAAATTAGCAATGTTTCATGTCTTATTTATCATAACTCCTCAAAAAAAAAAAAAAAAAAAATCTCAAAAATTATATATATATACCCCTATTACATAATATTTACAGAATTTATACATTTATAGGTACTTTAAAAACTTTGCCGTTTAACGGATAGGCATGGCGGACATTATTTTTATCCTACCATGTCCACACCTGATGTGAAATAAGGCCATAAACTTTAAACTCTTATACTCCATTTTAATTTCTTAAAGTGACCTTGTAGCAGAAAATGGCCTAAGAAATTATATTAACTTTTAAATGAAAAGATTGGAAACAGGCTCATTTAAAATAATGATTACCGGTAAAACTGTATTCCCTCATTTTATAATATTTTTACAGTCTTTTAAGTAGCCATCTGATCTGTAAATTACTTAATCTTTATAACTAATCTAGCTTTTAATAAAGTTTTATATGTTTTAATTAAAATGCATAATACTAATTAATAAAGCAATTAAATTTCTTGGTTTTGTATCAATTAAATTTTGAATCCAAGTTTCATATAATAAACTGGGCAACTTACTTATACACAACTACCGTACTTTGAGATCTTAAAATAGTATGTGAATATAAGTAACAACTTACATCAAAATAATTCATTAGGCTTGATCATTAATAGCCTTCACCATACTAAACCCTTTAAAATAAATTCTAAAATACATGTCTATTTTGTCAAGGCCTATTAGTTTTTTTATTTTTTATTTTATATTAATAAATAAAACAGTTTATAATAGAACTTGTACCTATATCATTATAAAAGCCTTAATGATTTGAGCATCAAGTATAATAAATTTGGATGGTAATTGATTAATTAAATATTAAGTATATATTAAGATAGGCTTACAATTTAATATTTTATAAGTTTTTTGTTTTAAAATTGATGAAGAAATACCTAACAATTTAAAATATTGTTTGTAAATATCCATGACCAAAATACCATTATTTTATGGCTTTAATGTGAGGCATTGTTACATGTATGATTAGTACTTTTTAGGCATTTTTAAAAGTAATATTGATTCATGAATCTATTTAAAAAAATATCTATTATTTTAAAATAAAAGTGTCTTTTATTTTAAAATAATGATTAAAGTTTGTGTTAATTGTGTAAGATTTTCGGCCAAAATTGCATACCATAATTATTTAGCTTATTAGGTACCACCAAGCTTATCTATTCAACCTAAAGTTAATTTTTACTGCCCACAACTGGTCAGAATATTTTTAACCATTGGCTAATTTGAACAAGTGCGAGTTAAAATATTGCCTTAAATTTGCTATTTTAGATTAGGAAACATAAACCTTAGTACCACTACCAGTGTTGTATTGTCATATAAATTATAAAATAACTTATACCTAGAATTGAACTCTTAAGTAACAATTTATAGACGATCACTTAGTCTGTAAAGTTTAACTGATAGTTTAATTAATTGTTCATGATTATAAACGACTTATTATTGGTTCTGTTTTATCCTGCTTTATTAAACCAAGTTAATGGCAATTTTTAGCTCCAACATTCTTTTGTCTAGGCCTATGCGTTACCAATGTTTGTGGTCAGTAGCATAAATTATTAGATTTGATGGTAAAAATAAATAGAAACTAGGCTTTATAATGTATTTAGAAATCCACATTGCTCTTTTCCATGCTCTAAACTCAAAAGTTCACTTGTGATTTCTCGTGTTCAAAGTCTTTGTTAAAATAAAATGTTAAATATCACCTATAATGTTTGTTTAGTAAATCAGTTTTTTTATAAACATTTGTTATGAAAGTAAAACAAACAGGAATTTGATTCCTTCCTCATAAACAATTGCATATTAGGAAATCATTTAAAGTCTTAGTTTAACAAGTTTAATAAGTAATTAGCGGTAACTTATTAACAGTATTGGATATTTTTATCTCGTTAAGAATTTGCAAATAATGATTGTATTTTCTTATAAAGACACTTTGCGGTTCCTTATATAAATATTCCAGTTGTTACTTTAACTAACTAAAAGATCCATTTTCTTTGTTTTCTTTATTATTTAAAATTAAAATCTATATTAATATATAAATATCCTCAAACTTTTATTGTATTGGACTATAGAAATGTACTGTAATAAAGCAGGCTAAACAGATTTTTAAATATTTCTTATTATTATTTAGTTAAATGTTGCCAGTAAGCAAGATAAATATCGAGTTAAACATGATAAAAGATTTGAAATAATAAGAACAAAATAATGTACCCCGTTGTTGTTTAATTTTTATAAATTAAAAGCTGTAGGGTATGAAAAGAAAAAAATATCAAAACACATTTAGGTAGGTAATATTTTTATTTTATTATTTTACGTTATTCAGTTTGACGCATCAATGTAATATCTGCGATTGTAATTATTAATACATAATTATCATATACAATAACTTTTCTGAATAATAAAATACACGTTTATGTTCTTGGTTGAATTTCGTATTCATTCGTATTTAATATGATAACTCGGTACACAGCGATAGCGGCGGGTTGAATACGCCATTTTTGCGACGGCGGCGCTAGTAGGAAAGTAATACAAATTACAGAAAATTAATTTCGATTGATTAATTTAATTTAATTCAAACTGTTTGGTCAAAACCTTTTATGAGATGAGCTTGAGTACTGTATAGAGATGTTTTATATCTAATACATAAAATCTTAATATCATAATATCTTAGGATCGTTTTTAAATGCTTTGTTTATTTTCCACTGCTCAGTGTTTAGTATTAAATAATCAAATGGAACACAAGTTCTAAAAGTTTTTTTTTTCTTTGTCCGGCGAGGAATTAAATATGCTCTGGCTGGATGACGGATCACAAACAAAATGCTGATTCGGGAATTAAGTTTTTGCAGTAGAAGAATCTACACTCGCAAATAAATAGAGTTCAATAAAATAGTTGCTTTAAAATTGTAGGTACGGCGGTATTTAAACTTTACGGTAGTTTGAAGGTACGAATGTTTTCGAAAAAGACGACCACGAGTTTCAAAACGCGCTTGATGTATAGTTTTTAGACGAATCAGAAATCAGAAAATCTTATTACAGAGCTTACACACAGAGTATGGTCACGCATATGGTAAAACTTGACTTAAACTTACGAAAATTTATAATTTTTTTTTTAAAGAGGTTGGCGGCCTCTTTTAACCGTGGATCGTTAACAGCAAGGCAAGGAGTGAGCCGGTAAAGGTGAACTGTACTGATAAAATGTTATCTGCAGTGACCAGGATCCGAACCCACGACATCGCTGCCTTGGGCCCGAAGTCCACGACGCTACCGACTGAGCCACCGACTCACTAAAACAAAAAAAAAACACAGCAAAACAATTTTTTATTTGTACCGGTACTACGATTTGTTTAAAGTAATACTGCATGGAGCAACGCTGTTAAAGAAATCCTGTTATTTGACCCGCCTCTCGCTGTATCGATACTGTTCGCTCAATTAGATTTCTAAAGTTTTCGCGTCTAAAATGGTGCTGAAAAAATAAAATACGTTTTAAGTTTGATACATATTGTTCCTTAGTTGTTTCTACAAAATTGCCTGTTGATAGAAAATAAAAATGGACAACGAATAGTTTAACAGTGCATGTATTTCAATGTATTCGTAATAGAATAATTTCTTAGATTTCTTAGATTCTTCTTCTTAGACATCGTAGTTTATGTTCGAAATTTACTTGACGCATAAACTGATTTTATAATTCAACCAAAGTGATCTATTCCTCAAAATGTAGTTTAATTAATAGGTATGCCCTGCCGTATTAAAAAGTTTAATTTTCATAATATCAACTGCGCAAATAATGTATTTAATATAGCAGAAAATGACATATGTTTCAATAAAAATAAATATTCATACACAAGATGCCTCTTAGAAAT